TATGTTGGGGCGTGTTAGAACGAGCCGTTTTAGGCAGGCGTGGTTGACTCTTAACTTTTATAAAGAATATCTCTTTGGATTTGAGACTTTAGTCTTTGCAACTTTACAGATCTTCTTTATGCACCAAGAGCTTGTAACACTCCAAAGAGAAAGGAAATATTGAAATCGCATCATATGACCCCTTTAATTTTCCTTTAATTTGCCTGTAGGTTTGACATAATGCAGTCCTATTGCTAGTTGTTCAGAGTGTCTGTCCCGTGCCTGTGCAATAATTTCATTTTGCTCTGAGTGAGACAGGGAGGTAGCATAGGATGGTGTAGTGTACAGCTATACAAGTCTGTGATAAGTTCCATGTGCTTAAGAAAGTTTCCCTGATTAGATTGTGGCTCTGTTCATCGTGTCCAATGAGTGCTCCGTCCCCAGAAATGACATAGCAGAAAACAACACATCAGAGGTGTTCACATCTCTCAGTTATTTCTCCTACACTATGAAGCTGTTCTGCAATAGCTCAGTGTTCCAATATGGTTTTGTATCTCTTCCAGCATGTCATGGACGCCTTAGGGATGTTACTTTGTCCATGCTCTCTGAGTGATTCTTAAGCCCTCTTTTCCAGTAGGAGAAACCTGCATTAAATATTTAGAATTTTGGTTGCAATTTATTTATTTATTTATTTAATTTGATGAACAAATAACATCCTCATGCTTCCAAAAGATGAAAAGCTGCAATTTAAACTTATAATTTCAATTAAAATCTACTGTGTTGAAGGACAGAGTCAAAATGACCAAAAACTGTGTGCAATTAAAATCTAATAAACATTTACTAAATCTATCTACAAAAATAACACTATGGCCTACTGATTAGATTCATGAGAGGTCAGTTGATGCATTAAAATGTGAAAAAATGTGTAAATAATTTCATAAATGATTTACTACACTACTAATTGCTAGAAATGCAATCAAAATGTGACAAAAAAATGTTTGATTATAGGAACGTGCCTTGTTGCCTTCCTTCTTCCATATGCTGCCTGCGGAGGCAGCATTGTTCAGCTTTCGGACGCAGCAGTGTTTGGAAATAACGTTACTTCCGCATTATCTGATTCCAGTGGAAATCTATTGAAGTGTCCGGATGCGGCAACTCTCTGTTTTAACGGCGTGGGCTGATGTTGAAACTGACTGTATGCATGCTGAACCTCTCTACCAAGGTGTGTATAATCTAATCATACCGATTTTTTACTGAGAACTTTATCTGTGCGTGTGGAATTCAGTCTGTGTTCACAAAATTCAACAGATTAATTTTAAATCCATTCATTCCCTCAAGTGATCTGTTATTTCCTCATTGTTCTTTCTCAAGTTCACAGTCCATACTGATTGATAGCAGACAGTTACATTACAAATCTTGTTTTATAAACAAGTGTGCATGTTGTCATATTGTTGAAAAGTACAACTACTTATCTGTAGAACTGATATCACTAACAAATTTATATATGAATAAAAGTGTGCACTTTAAAACCATATGTGCCAAAGATCATGTTACAAACAAACTATGCACTTTGAACTGTCTTGCTGTTGGCTACTCACTTCATTTTGAATAACCACTTTAAATGGTGATATTGTGTAATGCTAATAATTTGGTCATAGTGTAACATGCCAAAATAAAGATATCAGCACTGAAGAAAGCATTATTATTAATGTGAGATTTGCATTATTTCAGAGGTCTATAGTGCTCAACAGGTTTCAAGACTTTTTTTTTCTTTAAACTGCCACTGTGCCAAATTACTTTGTTTTATAAAATAAGCTATATATGATATAGTCATAGTATGGAAAAGTAGTTTAAACCCCTCTCTATCAAATTGATATTACCAGCAAATTTACATGTGAGTAAAAGTGTGTACTTTAAAGATATCTATGCCATACTGTAGATCATGTTCCAAATAAACTTTGGACTTGCTGCATTTCAAAAGATAATGCTTGATATAGTGTAATGCTAAAGTTTGCTCAGTTTCAGAGATGGAGAATCCTGCCCATCAACTCATTCACTTTAAACTGATTCACAAGGCCTATGCAACTCTGTATGTGTTCTCCCTATTGTACACTGTGTAACTCAAATAGTGTGGGAACCTATATGCATATTTTCTTTGACTGTCCACTCATTAGTAATTTTGGGGATAAGGTTTTTCTAATTATTACAGAGTTATGTGACAGGGTTATTACTAGACATCCCAATATTTGTTTGCTGAATGATGATACTGATCTTACTTTAAAGTATTTCACACCGCGCTAACTTCAGCCAAGAAGGTAGTCTTTAACATTTGGTATGATCCTTCATTCCCGGCTGACAAAATGTGGCTCATAGAACTAAAAAATATTGCATTGTTAGAATGCTCAACAGCAAGGATTAATAAAGCTAAACCAAGAACAATTAAGGCATGTTCAGAATTTATTGAGAATTTCTTAACACAGATTATTGTATCTTATTATCTTTATATATTTTTAATTCATAATTGAATTATGTTGTTGTGAATTCTTTGTGCTGCATGTCTTGTCTGTAATTTATCTTTTTTTTTTATGTCGGCAAACACGCATTGTTTTGTGAAGATATCATTTTAGTGTAAAGGGACCTATTCTTTGTTACGCAAGTGGCGCAACTGGAGTTTTGCAGTTTGCACTCACTACTTGCTACAGCGTCTGTGACTGCGGTCATACCATCTGCACTTCTGATGACCACTGAACCAACATCTATGGTTTTTACCTGATCTCGGATCAGTTTTATCAATTTTTAGACATTGTTAATGAGACATTTGTGTAATTAAAAGGATGAGTAGTAGTCTCTTACTAGCCTGTTTAGACAAGATCTCCGTGAAACAAACAAAACAAGCCCTGCAAAATTAAATTAATAATAATAATTAACATCACACATTATACAGACACTTCATATTTAATGGTATTTTATTATTTAATTGCATTAAATGTATTATTCTTTCAATAAAACATTTGCAATGGGTTTGTAAAATGTTTTATGCATGTTTTGGCCTGATATCGTCAGCCCTGTGTTTCTGTGTCTTGTGTTTTCCTCCCCCACGTGCTCCATGTTCATTTTTATGCCCATGTTTGGTTTCCTTCCCGTTCCTGTCCTGATTATGTAATTTGTTTCCAGGTGTTCCCCGTTTAGTTCTATTAATCCCAAGTGTGTCCCATTAGTACCCTTATTACTTAAGCCCTGTGCTGGTTCCAGTCTAGCGTCCGGTATTGTACGTCTAACCCTCCTGCTACGTATGTGTGTTCCTGCCTGTTCCATGTGAATCTTGATTTGGATGAATAAAGATGTTCTTTGAGAAATTCCTACGTGCTCCTCGTCTCCTCGTTCCAACACAGTTGCAGCACCGTGACAGATATAGCCTACTTGGTGTCGGCAGAAATTTTTTTTTTAAATCTAATTGTTTTCTGCAAATTCCACCAGATTTAATATGCCTATACTCCAAACCACTGTTTCGAAACAAATGATTCGCAAAGGCTTCAAAGCTTCATGAAGCCGTGTTTCAAAAGCGGTCATCACTACCACACAAAGCCATGTTGACGCGCAATGATTTTTTTAAGCGTAGTTGGCGTGACTGCGCATGGTGTGACCGCAGTTTTAAACTGCAAGTTTAAGTTATGACGAAGTAAGTTCCTATCATGATTCTTTGTTTAATACGGAATGCTTCTGTATGCTGTTGCAACTATTTCTGGCATTAACCCAGTATTGCAGTATTTCGCGATATGTAATTATAAGTTTGTCACATCTAACACTTGTGCTAGAGCCGTTAGCATGTCCGCTTAAATTGCTAATACCTACAATATAGTTACATATATTAGATTTTTCTCCGTAATATTATATGTTTAAGTTTGTTTTCTGTTATTATAATAAGGTTGTATACTGTAGCTTAAGTTATTTACATCCCTTTTCATAGTTTATATCCCTTGCTTTCTTAACTAATAAGCACACTCATGATAGTTGTTGGTATTGTTTAATTTGTTTTACAGTTGATTCATAACTGTATGTAGACAAGTTATTTATTTCTATTTGGTTTATTTATGACAAAAGTACCTCTGCTCTGCTTTCATGTGTACAAGGTGGAATCTTGCACAAAATAAAAGGAAATTTATCTGAAAACTCCCACTGACTTGTCAGACTTTTTTATTTCCATGCTCTTGCAGATATTAGGTGACACAAATAAACTGGGCTACTATTTAATTTCTTTACTTTATGCCAGTACTGCACAGTGTTGACAACATTATTAACCCAATTAACTACCCAAATAATAATGTCGATATATATGTAATCCAAATTATTTTATCATTTACAGGCAAGATGACACCATTTTCTAAGAATATGGTTTCTGTCCCTCTCTGGATACCAGTCGTAATCCTTTTTGTTTCTCTTTGTGATGGTGGCAAAATCTTGGTGGTACCTTTGGAGGGAAGTCACTGGGTGAACATGGACATCCTCATCAAGGCTTTACATGGTCAAGGACACAGCATTGATGTATTACGCACCTCTAATAGCTGGTTCATCAAGGAGAATTCAACTTATTACGGCTCTATAACCATACCTAACACCAAAGGAATGGATGAAGAATTTGTAGACGAAATGCTTTCCCAAGCAATCAACTTTGAAAGAGGAAAGAGCAGCTGGCTGGTTTCTGTTTGGCTGTATTTGGATACACTTAATTACACTTATAAAATGCATGAAATGATATGTCAGCTTATAACAAACATGTTTGAAAGTGAGGAAATTATGAAGACACTGAAGGAAAAGCAATACGATCTGGTGCTCACTGATCCTGTATGGGGTGCAGGCGTTTTCCTGGCTCATAAATTCAAGTTACCCATGGTATATAATGTGAGATGGACCACTCCTGGAGAGGGACACTTTGAGATCGCTCCCTCACCGCTGTCTTACATCCCTATCACAAAATCTGGAAACACAGACAAAATGAACTTTTTTCAACGAGTACAAAATATCTTCTATTATTTGCTAATGTACTTTCAATATGGCTATTTTAATTTGGCACAGTACCAAGCACTTTGTGACAAATATTTCTATCCACCTGTAAGCTTTTATGAACTTCTCCAGGGGGCTGATATATGGCTTATGAGGGTTGATTTTGTTTTTGAATTTCCACGTCCAACAATGCCAAATATCATCTACGTTGGTGGCTTCCAGTGCAAACCAGCAAAGGCCCTTCCACGTGACCTGGAAGTCTTCGTGCAAAGTTCTGGAGAGCATGGGGTCGTTATCATGTCTTTAGGGTCATTTATCAGTGTCTTACCAGATGAGATAACAGCAGAAATAGCGGCTGCTTTTGCTCGGCTCCCTCAAAAGGTGATTTGGAGATACACTGGAAAAAGGCCATCTACTTTGGGCAACAACACATTGCTGGTTGACTGGATGCCACAGAATGATCTTCTAGGGCATCCAAAGACTAAAGTTTTTATTGCACATGGTGGAACTAATGGGGTTCAAGAAGCTTTGTACCATGGGATTCCAGTGATTGGAATTCCACTGTTTTTTGACCAGTACGACAATCTTGTTAGATTGCAAGACAGGGGAGGAGCCAAGATAGTTACCATCGCAACTTTAAATAAAAACACACTGCACGCGGCCATACAAGAAGTAATCAGTGAGCCATCTTACAGACTGAGTGTACAGAGACTCTCTCATCTGCACAGAGACACGCCAGTTAAACCTTTGGACAGCGCCCTCTTCTGGATTGAGTTTGTAATGAGACACAAAGGTGCTGCTCACCTTCGTTCAGAATCCTATAAACTGCCTTGGTACTCCTATTACTCCGTAGATGTTGCAGTTACATTGTTCGCAGTTGTTTTGATAATCACTTTCTCCATATTTTTTACAGTTAGATATATGTGTGTCAAGTGCTGCAGCAGAAAAAGGAAAACTGAGTGACACGTTTCCATATGAAGTAGATTATTCTTGCATGTATGTCCCACTCATGCTCATGTAATGAGCAGCACACTGAACTTGGTACAACAATTAATAATGACATGTAGAATCTGGCCCGAAAACTAAATATCCTGACCTTTTCGAGTCAGACTCAACATAATGTCATTATTAATCATTGTACCAAGTTCAGTGTGTTGTTCATTACATAAGCAGTAAAGAATGGGTCATATATGCACTTACGGTCAAACTGCTAAATGAATAAATGTAAATGTCTCTTTTAGTAAGCAGGTATGGGAACTCTATTGCAAAAGAATCAGAAATGTATCAAAATCTCAGACAATTCAGACTTTTGAATTGTGCTTTCCTATGTACTAATTTTTTTTATTTTGTTTTTTTTTCTAAAATGTTTTTTTGTATCTGAATTTGTCTTAATAGTGATCCCTTTTTACAGAAAAACAATACTTATTGCAGAATATATTTACATTACTCAAATAATAATAACATTCACTATACTGAAAATAATGTGGTATGATGCAGTGGTGTTTCCTAATTAATATTTGCCATAATAATAGCCATTTTACCCTGACTTTTAACCCTGTAAATTTCAACCTCAGACATTTTGAATGTTAAAAATGATACATGACATAATAAAAGAAACATGACATGAAAATAAATGTATCAATTCAAATATATATTGTGCAGTGACTAAACCCACTTGAATCAACATCTGTATAATTATTATACTGTACATGCAGTTTCCTTCTGTTATTAATTGAGGGAGACATTTTAAAAATGTTTTTAATTGGTCACTTTTTAAACTAAGATGGTGATATTTGGAGAAAGGTTTATGTTAGCTGTAAACTACTTAAGTGCGGCAAACTCAAAGCTGCTAAATTTAAACATTAACCTGACCTGTTGTTAGTAATCAGTTTTACCTCACAATGATATATGCCTGCTATTTCATCAGCACCCTGGACAAACATTTAGACTTTAATAGTAAGAGAAGAGATAAAAGTTTAATTATATTATAGTTTAAAGGAGTGATTCTAACCTGAACCTGGACTTTACATTGAACATCAAGTGGTGACCCAACACGGTTTCAAAATTGCTTATTGAAGTAAAACAACAACAACAACAATTAAACATACAATTTTTCATGAAATTTATAAATTAATTTATTATTGTTTCTAAATATCTAAATTGTGATGCTATCGTCAGCCAATAATAATTTAAAATACGTTGTTGACACAAATTATGGAGCTGTGTTGGACATGTAAATACAGTGTTTTGGAGCATACATGTTTCTATCAATCACTAAGAAAAAACAGTCAATAAATTTTAAACAATCTTTATCCAAGATTGTTAACAGAAAGTTGAGTGGAAGGAAAAAGTGTGGAAGAAAAAGATGCACAACCAACCGAGAGAATCGCAGCCTTATGAGGATGGTCAATTTTCCACGACATTCTAATTTATTGAGATGCACCTGTATATTCTATGTCTATGTTAAATCATCTTTTCAGAAATAATAAAAAACATTGAGACACAAAGAAACACTGCATGCATTCAGGGCTAGGCTTTCACAGAAACTCTTCTATTGGCTAGACCAGTTTTGTCACTTCCAAAAAAAAATAAAAAGAAAGAAAAGAAAAGAAAAGCCATTCTAGGAAGTATGTGTGTTTTTCTCATGTGATGAAGGCTTTGCTATGCCCCTGTCAGCCCCTGCTAGTAGATTCCATAACTACGCCATTTGGCACACATAAGCATTTTTGTCCTTTAACGATTCAGAAGTAGCTGTGTATTTTATTTTATTTTATTTTATTTAAGGGCATTAAAAAGTATTAAAAGCATGAAATGGATTTATACTTTTCCATCTCTGGTGACAAGTATTGTTCATTGAGATGCATGACAATGCTTACGGGTCATAGTACAGTACTGTATTACATGCAATAATTAGCTTTTTTGTTTTTCGGTGTGAGCTTATTAACTAATACCACATTAAACTTTTCCTTCAGCACAGCCTCTATTTCAGAATCAGGGATTTCCTTCATGTCCACCATGTCAGAGTCCTCCTCTGGGTTGTATGTGATCTCGCTGTAAGTCCAGCCAATCAGAGCTCTGAAGCCGTTTGGGGTCTGAAGGGAGCAAATGGACTTCAGCACAAACCGAGAATCAGGACTAGTCTGCAAGCAATCCAGGGTCTCCACAAAATGCTCTTTATTACGGGGTGTTAATGGGAAGCAATACATTGTCTTCACCAGGCGCCTGTCGATGAGGCTAGAATTAGCATTAGCCTTATCTTTGACCACTTGCTTTCTTGAAGTCTTCTCCAGAACCCATATCATTCCATTGTTTAGTAGGCGGAACACACCTGGAGGCTGCGGCTGATCTTTCCCAGAGATCATCTCTAAGGGATACCAGAGTTGGCACGACACTCCGTAGCTCACATCGGTAATGTAAGTCTTCCCATCGATCTCCACCATATTGGTGAGATGAGAGTCCACGGGGTAGAAATCATTTTGGAACTTATTACAGTTTTTGCCTATTGCTTACACACGTTTTGCTAAATTTTAAATAAATAATGTAATAATAAAAGTTCAAAGTAATAGTTTTTAGTCAGATAACATAAAGACAAGACCCCTCGACGCCCTTTAAATTTTTCCCAATCAAACAGCAAGAACGAAAGAGAACAGGCACCTTTGTTAATATTGCTGTGTGTAGAACGTTAGATGCATTTTTAATATTTAATTTTAATGAAATGTAAATTTGTCCCCCGCACTAACACAATTATATACACATATAAATTATATACACATATAAATTATATACAAATTATATATACTATTTATTATATATACTATTAATTATATATAAATTATATACACACATAAACCGTAAATATACGGTTTATGTGTGTTTTTCAAGTTATCTCCAGGTAATAAATACACTATATGAATAATGCTGATTATATAACTGATTGACATATCATTTAGTAGCCTATAGAAACTATAAAATATATTCCCTGCCTTATTCTGTGATAAAAATGGGGAAAAGGTGCTCGTAGTAGCCTTTATAAACCGATCATAAAATTATCATTAGGAAAATATTGAACACAAATATTATAGCGCCTTGCTGCAGCTAACCTTACTTCCACAGGCTACAAACAGCCATATAAACAACAGCTGTGCATGCTCTCTTCACGCCGTTCTTGTATAATAATAATAATTTAATAATAGAAGTATACAAGCACACTGCTCCGCTGAGAACTCCACTCACCGGCAGCTGCAGACGTTATGAAGGCATCCTGGTAGTGCGCTAAATTAAAGGTGTCTGAACGTGAGGGATCGTCCTGGATGAGATCCTCAGGTGAAAGGTCATCATCATGTGGATAATTTTATCTACGGCTAAATTACTATTCATTAATTTTACTAATAATTAGATTGGGCAGGCCTTCACAAAATGGCGTTTAATTACAAAAAAAAAATTGCCTTGACAAAAGGGCACTTTGGGCATTAAGGGGAAAAGGGGCAGGTGCTCAAGCATCCACCGCACCCCCCTCTGCACGTGCCTTGTGTGTGTGTGTGTGTGTGTGTGTGTTTCTGTTTGCGCACAGCTTTCCCTGTCAAACAAATGAAAAAATATATATATATCAGGTCGGGTCTGATAATGTTGAGACTCTGATCGGCACATCACAGTCACAGACAGAGAGCCGCAGCGGCAGAACTGAAGCCCTCCCTCTCAAGTTGTGTTTGTCTTGCTGTGGAAGTGAGTGGTGATGAACAAAAGACTAAACTACCTGTGCCTCGAATTTACAGCTAATTATCCAAATGACAAAAGGCAAATATAGTTAATTTGTCTTGCTAACATAACATCCATGACTCATGAGAGATGCCATGTAAGTTAGCTAAAGTTTAGCAGGTTAGACCCGTGCGCGTTCTTTCACTGCATGATTCAGTTTATTAAAATGCATTTAGAATGATCACAAAATTCAAGATATCGGGGCATAAATATATATCATATAGTTAATCAGTATCACGCGAAGACTGACGCTGTTTCCACCAAAAAGCAGCATGATTACAAATGTGATATTGATTTTATTCAGCAGTTCAATAAACAAGAATTTAATATTAAGACACTCACGTTTTAGACACAATATTCACCGCTTTTGCTCTATTTCGCCAACAAATATAATTCCAATTTGTGTCTCTGAGCAACATGATGGTGTTTCCTTCCTGAATGAATAAACCGTTTAAATGATTCGATTCAATCGCAATGACTCCCTTATTAACAGTGATTTGCTGCCACCTGCTGGCGGTTTTAATTTCAAATTTCGGCTTTT